CCCCCCCCCCCCCCAACCAAGGGGTTCTGGCAGATTTAATCAGAAAAAGAAAAAAGTAAAAAAACCATTGTGTTTTCTTTTAACTACTTCACCAACCATCTTCTCGAAATCTGAGAGCTCCCATGAAGCAGAAGCATCGTTTAGTATTTTATTCCATATATCTATTAAGCCATTTCAGCCTGCAATTATTAAATAATTTCCCATGAAAGACATTTTCTTTGGATTATAGGTTCTTTCCATTATTTAAGGCTTCTAAAAATATACCAGCTTCGCCTTATTCTCTTTTGTTTTTTTTTTTTTCTTCTGAAAAGCTCCTCTCCCTACTGTCTTCTTTAATTGTGCTGCTTCTGGCTCATTGCTATTTTTGCGTAAGGACCACAGCCCTTGTGGAAATTGGCTACAGAACCCAAAAGCTCACTCACATAACCTCTATATGGTGAGATTTACTACCAAGCCAAAGGGGCTTGGTGATTTGCCATGCTTAGCATTGACTTCCTTCACATAAGACACTACATTTTGCGTCTATATTTATTTTACACAACTCAGACCCTCATCTAAAACAAAAATTTCTGCAACTCCAAAAATAATTTAAACAAGAAAACACAGGGCATTTTAGTTTTTAGAGTTTAACCTAATGGTCTTTTTCCTGTACTTTTTATGGCAGGTGTGCTTTCAACACTCAAAACCTAAGCTACCAGTAAACAGATTGTTCACAAACTAGGAGAAAAAAGAAAATAGGTAACTTGGTAAGTAAATCCGGATGGGAACTCATTGCAGTTTTGAAAGACAATGGATAATATATAACAGAAAGGTCAAGGGTGAAATAACATCAAACAGGACAATAGAATGTTGCCCATGGATGTAATAGCCATCTTGAAGACTACTGAACTTCTCCTACAGCTATGTCCCAAGAGTAGAACCAAGTTTTGCCAGTGTGTGAATAAAATCCAAAGGATGAATCTCCAGATTGTCAATTTTACAAAAGATAAATAACATGCGCAATCGGTGTACATTTTAAAGAAGCAAGGAGAGGGGAGAAAGAAAATGTGTTATAGATGAAAGGGAGGAGAGAGAGAAGATAATAGAGAAAATCCAAGAAAAAATCCAAGAAATGATAACTTAGTCGATTTACGAGTCATTCACAGTCTTTACAGTAACTGGCATTTTTGTTAAGTAAATGTTTCAATAAGACAAGTTCGGTTTAATAAGCGTCTTCTCTTATTCAAAATAATAATAATAAGACAAGTCCGGTTATTTTAGATTTCAGAATGAAGTCTCATTTTTGTAGTTGACACTAAACCTCTTTAAAACTTTAGTATTTTCCCTAAAACTAATCACAAGCCACTTAGAACTTGGAAATGGATGTCACCTTGAGAAGCTCAGACGAGCGGAAGCCACCAAGCCATAAGAAACACCTCTCAGCAGGTGTTTTCCACATGCCCGACAATAAATGAAATACATCAGCCTTTGCTGCATTACTCTTTAGCCTAAAAATTTCATCATAGTGAACCATTATGTTGTCAACAATTATCCGGAGCTCCGTATCGCTTGCATGAGAATTGACTGCTGATCTCAATTCATTAATATGCCGATTTTGGTCCTCAAGCCATCGTGCATACTCTACGTCAAAAGCCATGGCCCCTACAAAGATATGCAACAAACATGATATCCTCCTTTATTCAGGGAATTTTTAGAAAGAATTTACAAGCTGATGAATTCTCCGCATTGCAAGCATGCATACAAGCACGATCTTTTATAAAACCTACATATGCCGTGTAAGATATATAAAATGCATATGCTGGAAAAAGAAATGATCGACCTGCTACATTCTTTGAGAAAGTAGAGTGTCTCCAATATAACATATGGAATTAACACAGTTTTCTAGACATAATGTGTAAACTGGATAGAACAAATTTTTGCACTCTAGCAGGCTTCTTTTTAAAAGACCATCATCCGTGAGGAACTATTGAATGTTTGGGATTTCAGGACACTTTAATTACAAAAAATTTCCAAGGAGTAAAATAAAGCCAAAAAGCATGGTTATGTACTATACAAGAATATTGATTTTGGCTATTTTTATAATATTTCCCCGGCAATTAGGAAAACTAAATAATTGCCTCATTCAGGTTATGATCAAAGAATTAACAATCAGACATGATCTTAACAAAAAAGAGAAATCACCAATAAATAGCTAGAAAGAGGCATGAACTACACTTCATGCCTGATATTGCAGGAACCACCAGCAATCTACTTTCTCCTTTAGCTTATTTTTTTTCTCACGTTGGAAGTTTGCTCCATAAGACAGGCTGCATAAGTACCCCCAGTACAAGTCCTCTTACCCAGACCTCCATCTTAATGATTGGCAGGTCTGCAGCAGCAAAGAAGCCATCCATCATTGGCTTCTGCAATTTACTTGGTAGTTGAAGCAGATCATGCACATAAGTTGAAAATCATGGCCAATGAAACATGGCTGAAAATTTTAAATATTCAACGATTTAATCCCATCCAAGCCATTTGAAACATGCAAAGGCTAAAATGCTTGGAAATTCTGCAATCATTCAAAATCATTCTGAAGATACAAGACAAGGCTTTTCTTCCTCGTAAATTTTCCAGATTTTCTGAAGATTTTTATCTTGTCTTGCTAATTACTAATGTCAAAGGACGCTGCAAAAATGAAAATTTTCTATCAGATCTTCCTGACTTAATCATTTTCGTTCAAATAATTAACAAAAAGTTGTGTATCCATGACTAGAAATTCTTGATGCGGACACATCGTATTAAAAATATATCATTTTCATTTTTCTACAAGGCTTATTTATTCAGAGGTTATCCTATGTTCAAATTACTATTTAAAGCTTCTGTTTATGTGGTAATTATCATCATTCAAATATCTATGCATAAAACTTATAAAGGTTGAAGCATTTAAGTGACCCTCAAGCATACTTGTCATGATACTGCTAATTTTGATTCCTACATAAAAGTTACCATATTAAGATTTCAATACCTGCAAAATCCATCTAAATCTTAATAGATACATATATACATATATATACATATATAATGCCCAGCTGATATCAATCACTATTGTATCCCCGCGAATACACCATTGAAACACCAGCCTTGTCTAATGTTCATTGGTGCAAACCACCAGTTCCTAGGCACCCCAAATACCATTAGAATTTTTTATTATCACCCCAAATACCATTAGAATTTTTTATTATCACCATCAACCAACTACACCAACAGCAATGTCATTAAGGCATACAACTTGGCACAACTTCCAGTAAGATGACCCTCATATATCTATAACAAACATATTCATAAATATTCAGCCAAAATATACATACAAAAATACATAAGCATATATACACAACCACATTTACTTAGAAAATTAAGCAGTGCTGAAATATAAATAGTCACGGAAATCAAAGAGAAGGTATCTTTCTCAAATTGTTGCTAGATGCTGTGCAAGGAAGAACAACAACTTAGATAAAGTAAAGCTTACCATTTCCACCAATTGAATGGGCTTGGTCTCCAGAGCTTGATATGAAAATACCCTAAAAAATTAATCAAATAAGTTAAACATATGAGGAAAAAAGTATAAGTACAAAAGAAAGCAGAATATATTAAGGGTGACTTGGAGAATAAACACCAATCACCTGCTGCCGTGCTCTCTGGAGCTCCTGCTCCAGTTGGGTCAACTTCAAACGACTACTCTCCAGCTGCTGGACATATGCCTACAACAAGTATGAAAAGAACTAATTAGATAAAAAGGAAACATATCCATGTGAAATGTGCCATACAAATTAGTGTAGCAATAGTTCACATAAAGGAAGCACAAGGAAGAAGATCAAATCCTTCCACAACCATCTTTCTAGAAAGATATTTATTGAAAATAAACCTATAGGAACTAGTCAGGTTTAGCTTTAACCGGGTTTGTATTATCATCCAGCGATTCTACTAAAATCAAGTGAAAAGTTACACAAGGTAACCCCCCGTTAATTACAATATTACCAACAACGTTTGAATTCCACGAAAACATTCAAATCCTACTAATAACGGAGGCAAATAGAGGAAATGAAGAGTCTAAAAATAAATAGAAGAAAAAACCGAAATACCTTTTTCCTCAGTCTGCTTTTCCTAGCAGCCTCACGATTTTGTGCCAGCCTTCTTAGAGTCTGTCGAGAACACAGAGGGATTACCAAATGACTAGATACAGCTATATAATGTTTTCATCAACAAAACAAATCATATGACCTTCTGATCCGTTTTATCTTTCGATCTGTCACTTGAATCGGAAGCCACAACAGCAGTAGATTGACCTCTATTAGACTGCATACACAAAGGCATTACGTCAGACCGACATCAATATAGAAGGAACCAAGTCCATATTAAGAAGCTGAATAAAGAACATCAGCGTTCATTTTCATCCCACGAGACAGGAGGTACAAATCCAATAAACAATACGAACTAACCCTCTGGTATTTATCATCTGTATCCACATCCGTTGAGATATCAGTCCTAGGACTGGCATCAGCCATATTGGACTAATTCCAGTTGTGTACGACCACTACACAACTGACACTTCTCCTGAGCAAAACGATGACAGTCTATACCTTCCCTCTTTTCTTCAATATATAAAAAACTGCAGGAAACGTCGAAGCGCATAGAAGAGGGCCCAAGGCCCTGGAGAAAGCAACACAGATATTAGATACCTTTAATGCATCGTGATGAAGGAGAAGAAAATAAGCATGACAGAGGATAGGGAAGCAAGAATCGAAGAGAAGCACAGCGAATAAGTAATGAGAAAGAGAAATATTAACATGGAACTCGAACTCCTCCTCCTCCACCTCCTCCTCCTCCTCCTCGTCTTGCTAATATTTCTTCTTTGGAAGACAAATGGAAGAAATCGAACGAGTCAAAGTAGGGAAAATGAAGTGCATAAAGAAGAAATACAGGTTCAGTAACTGTAACTCTCCTTCTTGTTCAATATACTTGAAACCCTAGTAGAGATGCTCATTAACAAGATAGAGAAAACACAAAATAAATTTCATAATTTCAAATTTTTATATAAATTTGAAATAATAATAATAATAATAATATAATAATATACACACTTTTCTAATTTTTAAACTATTTTTTTTATTTAATGTAATAGTAGATATATAGTAATTATTTATTTAAAATTTTAAATATGCAATGTACTTGAATTTTTAGTTAATTATAAATATATAATAAATAAATTATTTTAATATAAAATTAAAATAATAATATATAATTATCTATTTATAAAAATAATTTTTAATTTTTAATAAATTATATATATAAATAAAGTAATCGTATATTATTGTACTTGAACTTGTCAAATTTTATTTTTAACGTAATTATAACTTACGAATATGATATTATCGTAATAAAATTTTTAAATTTTATTTTTAAATCAAAGTTACACAGACACACGATATGAGTATTATTTAAACATTTATATAAAACTATCATAAATTTTAAAACAGCATATATATTGTTTAAATTATGGAAAAAAAAATAAAAGAAACGTAAAAATTTAATATTATTTTATTTTTTTAAGTTTACTTTATATATAAATATAGAAATATGGATAAAAATTAATACGACAGATAATTACACATTTAAATTGTTAATCGAAAAGAATTTTAACAATCCTTACCTTTTTTAAGAACTCAACAAATTAAAATAAAAATAATAAAAACCGTACAAAATATAATAAAACAATTTAAGAATAAGAATATCTAAATTGATCGATCGAAACATAGCTTTATTATTATAATGTCAACTTAACGCTCGTATTTGTTCGTTGACCCATCAAAAGCACCAAAAATCTTGTCATAAATCATGACACTTGTCGTCAACTTCTTTTTTGTCGGTCATTATGTTACTAGTTTTATTGCTTTGAATATCGTGATAGCTAAATCTTCTAATAAAATTATTCTATTTTGGTCATGAAACTACATCATATCACCTGTTTAGTTTATTCACTCATATGATCAATTAGTTTTTTTGCTTCTCCTTATTATCTTGATAAAGTTACGATTTATAGTTGTCATATTATTACTGTCACGTTTTACCTATCATTTTAATCGAAATCATTAAAAGCGGGTTTTAAAGTACATAAGTAATATTTTTTTTCATATTATATATAAAAATTATTTTATGTCAATGTTTATTTTGCAAAATGCTGACTGTTTTTTTTTTTAAATAAAATCTAATAATTTGAATAAATTAATAAAAATGTAATTAACAAGACTTTGAGATTCATATGTAACAATACTTATTTATGACAAATTTAAAACTTTAGAAATTAAGATGAACAAATAAAAAAGTATAAATTTTGAATATTTAAAAATAGTACAGAATGTAATAGTATATTTTATCCGATAACATATTTAATAGCGATCTACTTAAATTTTTTAAGATAAAAATATAATTAATATGATAATAGATATATATATATATATAGTAGTCATCTTTTTGAATTTTGAAATACTAAAATAGTTTTTAACTTTCAATTGATTATAAACTATATAATTATATATTTTATAAATATATGATTGTTTATTTTTTCACTCACACTTCATTCATTGTGCATAGTATGATAACAAAATATTGAAGTATGATATACTACCCATGTGTTATGTGTATTTTAAAATTGATAATTTTAAATTAACAATCTTAATTTAATTTGATTTTAACTATTTTTTAATAAATATATTAAATACTCTCACTTATCTAAATCTTTGTTTAATGGGTTGTTTTCGATAAATATATTTAATATCATTCATCACTTCATTTAATACAATATTTCGAGCAGTTAAAGTTTAAAAATCAATAAAATTCTATTCTATATTTCTCTAGTATTATATTTAAAATATTGAACTTTAATTTATATATATGCTATTAAAAATATATATATATATTGAACTTAACTCTTTCAATTTTACTTGAAAATTATAATAAAAGAGTAAAAAATCCTTTGGCCGATATATACCCACGAGGGATCTTGCCATATAACTTTTTTCATGCCTTACATGCTCGTTGACTTACATACATGTCAAACTCATTTATTCATGTTTGAAAACAAGCCAAATAAGTAACCCGCATAACGAATTACCAATGAGTAGGGTGGTAAAGTCTCCACAATCATGTCTTGAGCTTGGGCTATCATCCAAACCCATGTTGGTATATGTCTTGAGTCGATTGACAAACAAACTTTTATCATTTCACATTTGGTCAGAATAACTTGTATCCTAATAATTTTAATCATTAGTTGACTTTTTTCGAAAAACTATTTATATTTTCACTTGTGATACTTGTTTGCTATCGATCTTTTGTTCATTTTAGTCCTATATGAAATTTAACATCCAATTTAAGTTACATTCCCTAATAACCCAACTTATTTACATTGTTTCATGGTGCGAGAGGATCCGACATGATAGGACTCTTATTCTCTTTGACGCTCCCTTCTATAGAACTTGGATCCAAATCCATGATTAAGAAATTTTATTTAAGCTATAATTCGGTTTTGAGAATATCCTATTAGAAATTTTTAAATTATTATTATTATTATTTTATTAGTATCTTTAAATTCAACATGTATTATTATACATTTACTTAGAGTTGTATTGTAAGTATTTCAAGATGAGGACGTTCATGAGAATTACACAATTAGATAGAAAACGTAAAATCTTTTCAACTATTAAATCAACTATGTTGCTTGCTGCTTGAGGTTCGTATTTGGGCCATCAACTATGGTTAGAGGCATGTGAATGAGAGGTTAACATCCATCAACAATGGGTAGTTTTCGATAAATATCTTTAATATTATTCATAACTTCATTTAATACAATATTTCGAGTAGTTAAAGTTTAAAAATCAATGAGATTCTATTCTATATTTTTCTAGTATTATATTTAAAATATTGAGCTTCAATTTATATATATGCTATAAAAAATATATATATATATATATTGAACTTAACTCTTTTAATTTTACTTAGAAATTATAATAAAAAAGTGATAACTCTTTTAGCCGATACATAGCCATGAGGGATCTTGCCATATAACTTTTTCATGCCTTACATGCTCGTTGACTTACATACATGTCAAACTCATTTATTCATGTTTGAAAACAAGCCAAATAAGTAACCAACATAATGAATTAATCAATGATTAGGGTGATAACATCTCCACAATCATGTCTTGAGTTGGGCTATCATCCAAACTCATGTTGGTATGTGCCTCGAGTTGATTGACAAACGATCTTTTGTTATTTCACATTCGGTTAGAATGTTTTATATCCTATTAATTTTAATCATTAGTTGACTTTTTAAAAAAAAATTATTTGTATTTTAACTTGTGATACTTGTTTGCTATCGATCTTTCGTCAATTTTAGCCTTATATGAAATTTAACATCCAATTTAAGCTACATTCCCTAATAACCCAACTTGTTTACATTGCTTCATGGTGCGAGAAGATCTGAACATGATATGACTCTCATTCTCTTTGACACTCCCTTTTATAAAACTTGGATCCAAGTCCACGATTAAAAAATCTTCTTTAGGCTATAATTCGGTTTTGAGAATCTTCTATTAAGAAAAATCTTATTTTTTTCTTTTATTTATTGGTATCTTTAAACTCAACATGTATTATATTTTAACTTAGGGTCGTATTATAAATATCTCAAGATGGAGATGTTTATGAGTATGTTAATGAGAATTGCACAATTAGATATAGAGCGTAAAATCTTTTCAACTATTAAATCAACTACGTTGCTTGCTGTTTGAACTTCGTATTTGGCCCATTAATTATGGTTAGAGGCATGTGAATAAAAGGTTAACATCCATCAATAAGAACGACCCTTACGGAGGAGGGGAACAAGAAATCATAATAAGTTAGAGCTTCATCATCACTGTAGTTTATATATTAAAATGTCAATAAGTAGTTAGATTTACTTGTACCACCAAAATACATTATAGTGGCTTTTCCTCAGCCTCATCTATCGTGACCAATACAAAGTTATAACCCGCATGCAAGTCTCCTAGTGTTCATAGTCACTTCAAGTAGTTTACGAAAAGTCTCTGTCTATCTTATAAAAATTAAAAAACATAGCTCGATGAAACTTATATATACAAACATACTTGAAAATTTTGCTTGAGGTTCTTAATTACGAGGCAAGCTTATCCTTAACCCGTGACTTTTACGTATTACTTTATATTTAAACAAAATTTAATTTTGTCATTGTATAAAACTCGGAGGAAAATGAGCTGATTCGACGAATTCTTCAATAGGCCATCATCTTGGACTACATAGGCTCCAATCATGTTATCCCCGAATCTTTTATTATAATTTTTTTTTATATTATGTTCCGTTAAAATAATTTATATTAGTCGAGAACTAGTGTGTATATCTATATACATATATATATATAAATAAGTGTAAAATATTTTAAGTTAAGAATTTTACAAAACTAGTATATACAAATATATATATATATAGATGTAAGAATAAGTGTAGAATATTTGAAATTAAAGAGGTGTTAGGTGTAATTAACTTTTTATAGGAAAAAAACAAGACTCGAATTGAAACGCATGAAACGTGTTTTGGAGTCTCCCGAGTCACAAGTGAACGCGGCAGCTGCCAAAAGGTGAGGGAAAATAAAAAAATTATTATTTAAAAATAAAAAAAATTAAAAATAAAAAATCCCGCACACCTACAACCTTGAAGCTACTATTTATTTATTTATTTTTATTTTTTTAATTTTTAAATAAAACCCTACTGATCTCCCCCATCGAATCCTTTTTCTTGTTAAGCTCTTGTTTGATTTATCAGGAACTCGATTGGTGATCTCTCTTTGGAGTTCTTGTTTATCGTAGATTTCATTGATTTGTGCCTGTTTCTAGTTGGGAAAATTCTCATGGATCTATCGTTTTTAGTTTACTCGGTTTTGGTTCACTGTATGTAGATCTTTTAGAATTCAGCAATTCCGACAGGTTCCGTGCTCGAACTGGATTTCGATTCCTCCCAGTTCCGTTTGATTTTCGGGGAAAGGTGAACTGGTTATCGGGCGAAAATGAAGGTGCCGTGTTGCTCTGTGTGCCAAACGCGGTACAACGAGGAGGAGAGAGTTCCCTTGCTGCTCCAATGCGGGCATGGGTTCTGTAAGGAGTGTTTATCGAAGATGTTCTCGGCGTCGACGGACACAACTCTATCCTGCCCCCGGTGTCGGCACGTGTCCGTGGTGGGGAACTCGGTGCAAGCGCTTCGCAAGAACTACGCAATGCTCGCGCTCATACACTCGGCTTCGAACTCTCTCCGCCGGGATTTTGATTGCGATTGCACTGACGACGAGGATGATGATAGCAGTGGCGATGGCGATGAGGAGGAGGAAGCGGCTCGGTGCTTCCGGGGCTCCAGTGCCTCAAGCTCCGGTGGATGCGGGCCGATGATCGAAGTTGGGACGCATCAGGAGATGAAGCTGGTGAAGCGTATCGGAGGGGGGAGGCGAGCTGGGGTCGAGATGTGGGAAGCTGTAATTGGTGGAGGCGGCAATGACGGCCGTGGAAAACGGTGTAAGCATCAAGTAGCAGTGAAAAAGGTTGCAGTAACGGAGGAGATGGATGTGGATTGGATGCTGGGGCAGCTGGATAGTTTGCGGCGGACTTCGATGTGGTGCAGGAATATCTGTACGTTCCATGGTGTCGTGAAAATGGAGGGTTCTCTGTGCCTTGTGATGGACAGGTGTCATGGCTCTGTCCATTCTGCTATGCAGCGAAATGAAGGCAGGCTCACTTTGGAGCAAATCCTAAGGTTTCGTTGTCTTCTCATTCCTTTTCTACTCTATTCCCTTTGCTTGGATGTGTTAAAGGATATATATTATATAAGTCAGATGATTTTGTATAGGATTAAATGCTTGGTTGGCTAAAATGTTGTACTTTGCGGCTCTATATTAAGTCACTGTGGAGATATGGTGCATTCAGCAAGTTTTGATGCATTTGGAAAGGTCTAAAGTTGATACATTTATCAAGATATAGGACCTTTCAGTATCATCTGTTTATCACCTTTTTTGTGCTTGTATATGATGACTTCATATCTCAGTTGAAATGGTCATTTTATGAGCTAGCGAATTCATCTAGCTGTACATAAGTCAGGTTTTGTAGTTTGGATTGCAGGTTCGACAATTTGACTGTAATATTTGAGTTTGTGCTCGTTGTTTCAACAGTTGCATGTCTAATGTAAATAGTATTTGTCAAGGAATGGTTTAGACAGACATTTCATGCATCAGATTTATATTATTGGTTGAGAAAATATGCTGACTTATCTTGTCAGGAAAATCTGAAGATCTATGACTTTACCTGGTTTTTGGAATTATTAGTTACTGCATTTATATATGGAGGGTGCCACGTGCACAAGATATGGGTTCCGCTTAACTGCTTGCGTTTTCCTAGAAGTCTGCGGCCACCCTGTATTACACTGCTAAGCATTAGTATGTTCGAGTTGGTTCTATTGCGTCTTACTTCTTTATTAAAAGAGAGAAAAATTTGTAACGCTTATTTGTTTTTTTTTTCCCCAGAGAGAAAAAGAAATTATACTAGAAGTGGTGCTTTTTATTAGTTGACAATGCTGTAGACATATGATGTAGAACAAATTAGTTTTGATTTGCCTACTGAGAAATTGGGAAAAAAACTAGATATCTCACCTGGAGTTTTTAGGCATTACACCTAAAGTTTAATTGAGTCACACAATCAATTATGATAAATTTTTAAAAATATTATTGTATACTTGAACGAATAATAAGTGAAACTACGAAACTAGCTGTAATAATCTTTTCCTAACTAGAATTAAACTAGAAAAGTGGAAACTAGTAGAATTTAGAATACCAATCCTAATACAACTAGAAAATAATGTTAATAAGAATTATTCTAATACAATTAGGAAACAATACTAATAAGAATAAACTCATAACATTAATAAGACTCATAAATAATAAACTAAAAACTAATTGAATAATAAATAAATTCCTAGTATGGTTATGTGCCATCAACATATGTACTCCTTTTTTCTTTGTGGCAGAGCCATTCAGCAACTATACTTATGCATTTAGGAATCTCATGGTGATGGGGAGAGTTTGATATTAGTTCCTTCCTGATAGACAGTCAGCTGCATGGAAATGTCTAAAGGCCTGATAGTGTAGATTATATGATATCAAGCAGTGTTTCTTATAAATATCTCCACTTTAGTATCTTTCTATCTCATTGCTCAGAAATGTAAGAGATTTGACGAACATTTTTTAGTTGTTTAAGGCTAGAATTTTAAAGGAAAACCGGGGGAAAAGAAACTTCAAGAGAATTGTACTATTTTTTGGAGAAACTAATTGGAACGGAATTCCTTTTATAATGGTCATGTTTTGGGAGAAAAAAAGAAGAGAAAAAAGAAGAGAGTATTATTTTTGACTTGAAGAGATAAATGAATATCGCAGTCCTAGGAATATGGGACAGTCAAATAAGCATTTAAGGGCAGCAGTGACCAACCTCTGCCAGTGGCTTGAACTGATGAAATATGCAAACTTCTGTAAGTTTCTTTGAGATTTGTAGAATAGGTTCTAGCACTAAGAGGAGTCCTTTTTTTAACAGCTACCTAAATCTCATATCTTCAAAGGAAGAGACCTCTTTCTTCTGAAATTTCTCTGTTTTAAGGGTGATAAATATTGAGGAAAGTGAAATTTGTTATTCTGTGTATTGTAATTTAATCTGTGAGTCCCAAGATCACTGGTGAATTGTACGCTTAACAGAAAAAGTGCAAAATATTTGGATTTTTCTATGTTGCTTGCTGCCAATGTGATGCATTTGACACTTTGTTACATTGCACTTATTCATCTATGGTAAAATTTAGAGTAGATGCAATGATTTTTCTGCCCTTCCCATCATAAAGAAAAGGAGTGAATAAAATAATTATAGGATTAGTAGCTATTCCTTGACCTCAATTACTTGATAGTTAAGGTTAGGTCATATTTTTCATTTTTTACTTAACAATTGGCTTTGTAAGAATCACAAATCTACCTTGTCATTCCAACTGTTAGATAATTTTTATCGTATTCGTATTCCTTTCCCTATTCCGTGGTATTAGATTTCAGCTAAACTTAGCCTTAATGGAACACTTAATTATTTTGAGCTTGATATCACATGCCAAGTTGTATTTGCTATTTCAAGCTTGTAACAGCCATTTAGCAATTAGTGGTTTGTTTTTAATTGATTTTTTGCTTTTCTTAAAAATAAGTTGCAAATTATGTAGTCATAGCAGAGATAAAAATATTGGAAGTTGAAGATTTCTATGTTTGAATATCCTCCTTGTTCGGTCAGGAAAAACGATGCCACCACCATAAAGTACCCCAAATACTATGGAATTTAGTAACCTTATGGGTCTCTATGAATTTAAATTAACTCTGAACGTTAACAAAAGATTTTCATTTATTTTGAAATGTCACAATCTCCAAAAGATATGCAAATTTTTTTGGGTAAATATATGGAAATGTTTTAAGGTTTCTTTCCTTGGTAATTTCTTTTTTTGGTTTTCTGTACTGTGATGCTTCCTATGTTTGTGTTTTTGAGAATGAAATGGACAAAAGTCATTTTCAGTCATCAATTTGAGCCTGAAAAGGAAAGCCAAAAGAAACAGGTGGTAGAGAGTCAATAAATACAGTGACTTCTGCAAAGCCAGACTTAAAGGGGCTCATTGTTTGCTAAGAGACTTAGAAACGTTTCAATTCTTGCTTGCTTTTGGTGACAATTGTTAATTTCCCATAATGTTTAATATGACTAAGTTCTAAAATTAGCGTCTGATGTTATGCAAAATACTATAAATTTCAGGATTAAAATGGATTAGTGACTGTAGTCATCAATTGATAATTTCTATCTTTGTAATCACTTCTTGTCATTATATGAAGAGGATTCTCTTTTTAATCTGTTTATACATAGGGATGCTAACTTAATCATGCTATTTTTTGCTTCTTTATTGTTATTGTATTTGATAATTAGGCTTGGTTAAAGTAACTATTAGCTGACTGTGACTCTTGCCATAACATAGCAAGTTTTCTTGTCAATTGTAGATATGGTGCAGACATAGCACGAGGGGTGGCTGAGCTTCATGCAGCAGGTGTTGCTTGTATGAATCTAAAACCATCCAATCTTCTTTTGGATGCAAGTGGTCATGCTGTCGTTTCTGATTATGGACTGGCCGCAATTCTGAAGAGACCTGGCTGCAGAAAAGCTCGAACAGATTGCGATTCTTCAAGGGTCCATTCATGTATGGACTGCACAATGCTTAGCCCACATTATACTGCCCCAGAGGCATGGGAGCCAGTGAGGAAATCTTTGAATTTGTTCTGGGAGGATGCAATTGGTATATCTGCAGAATCAGATGCCTGGAGTTTTGGTTGTACATTGGTGGAAATGTGCACTGGTTCTATTCCGTATGTTTAGATGACATTCTTCTTCCTATTTTTCATTTTCTGTACCTGCTGTGTCATTCATGCTCTAATTCCTATATGACCCAAGTAGACATTTTTTTTTGCAGGTGGGCTGGTTTGAGTGCAGAGGAAATTTATAGAGCTGTTGTCAAGGCTCGAAAACTGCCTCCTCAGTATGCTAGCGTAGTAGGTGTTGGAATTCCTAGGGAATTATGGAAGATGATTGGTGAATGCCTTCAGTTTAAGCCATCAAAAAGACCAACATTTCATGCAATGTTGGCGACATTTCTGCGTCATTTGCAAGAGGTCCCACGCAGCCCTCCTACGAGTCCTGATAAGTAAGACTTTTGAGTCTGTATTTTTACTCTCTCTTCTTTTACTTTCTTGCTTTGTCATGGACCTTTCCAACAGATGCTTTAGTCCTTGTCCGAATGGCTTATGACTTTGTTCTGGGCATACTGATATAGTTGCTAGTGCTGCCAAATGGGTTCTAACATGCACATAGACCTAGCCTTTTCCACTTTAATTTGCCGATGGAGTTATGTTCTCTGTTTGTTTGAATGCAGTGGCTTCTTGAAATTCTCTGGATCAAATGCTGCAAAACCACCACCTGCATCTGATGAGGACATTTTCCAAGATAATTCTAGCCATCTTCATAGACTTGTCTCTGAGGGAGATGTGAAAGGTGTAAGGTTTGTCCAGCTTATTACATGCTTTCCTTTTCTAACTTTTTTCTGGAAGGCTGTCAGCTTTGTATCTTATTCCTAGCTTCCTTTTTTTCAGAGGTTTTCTCTCAAAGGCTGCAGAGGGAAACAGTGGAAACTCAGTGCGTTCACTTTTAGAGGCACAGAATACTGATGGCCAAGCTGCTCTCCACTTGGCTTGTAGATGTGGTAGTGCTGAACTAGTGGAGGCTATTTTGGAGCATGAAGAGGCAGATGTTGATGTTCTGGACAAAGATGGAGATCCTCCACTTGTTTTTGCTTTAGCAGCTGGATCCCCTGAATGTGTTCAGGCTCTCATCAAAAGAGGGGCTAACGTTCGATCTAGATTGAGAGAAGGATTTGGACCATCTGTTGCTCATGTCTGTGCTTACCATGGACAGCCTGATTGCATGCGTGTAAGTCTAGAATTGGGCCAAATGTAGTTTTATTTCTTATTCTTTTATGCTTCTCCCACTTTATCCATTTGTATTAATGTTTACAATAATGGCAGGAGCTACTGTTGGCTGGGGCTGATCCAAATGCAGTTGATGATGAGGGTGAATCTGTATTACATAGAGCTATTGCCAAGAAATATACAGATTGTGCTATTGTGATATTGGAAAATGGCGGCTGTAGATCAATGGCTGTTTTGAATTCAAAAAATTTAACGTGAGTATATAATTTCTTCTTACTAAACAACTAGACAAAACACAGATATGCTTATTTCATTCTTCTTAGCCAAATTTGAAGGAAATTTCAGGAGACTCTAACCAATTTTTTTAAAGTAAAATTATGGTATTGATTCATTCACAAACACAAAAATGGGTGTCAACCTATATACAAAAATATTTACATGTCATTCAACTTATCACTAAGGTCTCCAAAACCTTCTATTGAATAAAGAGAATATCATCTTAATAAAAACCCAGAGTCTGGAACCATCTATCTCTAATGCTATCAAATTCATCTTCCACCTCCTCAAAAGCTCCCGTCTTTCTCTCTTTCCACGCCATCCAAAGATAGCAAGGAGAATGAGATTAACATATTTCTTCCACTTACCATGTCTATAATTAGTGGCATCTGTTGGTACTGGAGGCTTACTGAATCTAATTTGGCCCTGTTGTTTACTCAATCATCTACTAGAAATCAAGGGCAAAAAATTTGATCTTTGATGTATAATGTGTAGTTGTTGTTTGTGACATAGTGATATTTGAGAATGTGCAGATATTAATTTCTTTTTTGTTCATTTGAAAATATGAAGTACTTGTGCATTTCTCAACTCCAGCTGAGTGCCTTAGGTTTTCTCTTCCAAAGAACAAAAAGCTTCAGTATTTGATGCCAATTAATCTTAGTTCAGAAAAAAATTATGATGCGAACTTCGTTAAGATTGATGCATGAAAACAAGAATTGGACGAATCCTGGCATGAACAGATCCAAATTCCAGTTCTTTGGCCAAAATAGTAGCAAATATAACATCCTAAATTATGTTTCTTCTTTGAAATTTCCCGTTCTTGAACTTTCAACAATTTTTAAGATTTGCATTGAATTTCATAAGCATCATGCACGTCTCGCTAAATGTTGCTGCATTTTGCATGTTTCTCTTTTACTTGATTTCATGCCGTCTGATTTTTTGTTTATTGATTATATGAATGTCACAGACCATTGCATTTATCTGTAGCAACATGGAATGTGACTGTTCTCAAAAGGTGGGTGGAAATTGCTTCTCAAGAAGAGATCGACGAGGCAATTGATATTCCTAGTCCTGTTGGTACTGCATTGTGCATGGCCGCTGCTGTCAAGAAAGATCATGAAATTGGTATGTTAGAATATGTGTCGTATACATTGCAACTTTCAGACTGAGCTTGCTGTTAATTTTTGTGTTTATTCTTATTACCTTATGCTTTATGGATGAAATTTCACAGGTCAAGGCAAATATTCTTTTTGTAAGAGCAGAACTATTGTTCTTTTAAAATGATTGTAGAAAATCATAGAAGAGAATTTGGTTTAATTTCTGTTTGCATAGTGGGAGGAATCATCAAATGGTTAAGGTGTGTCCGGTAACCATATATTGTTATTCCTTTCTCTTATAAAGCTGTTAGGAATTGGTTGCATTCCTTTCCTATAAATAAGCACCCCATGGTGAAGGAAATAAGACAAGTAGAAGAGAATTTTTCCATTCTGAAAACTTCATGGTATTAGAGCAATTCTGATCCAGGAGCTTCATCCCGACTGAGGCGAAGTCATAGATGGTCACGGGTGAGCTATCATCTTCTCCACTCGAAGTTTCCTCGGGTTCCTATCTTCCCGCACTCATCAACCATGGTTTAGTTGAGCAATCTTCGTCATTCATTATCGGGCACAAACTAAACGGCAACAACTATCTCTAGTGGTCATCGTCGGTGCTGCTGTTGATCCGGGGCAAGGGCCGAGATGAATACCTCTACCTGCCAACGATCCGAATGCCCGAACATGGAAAATCGAAAACAACATGGTTATGTCATGGTTAGTAAACTCGATAACATCTGAAATTGGAGAGAATTTTCTCCTCTACGAGACCGCACATGAAATCTAGGAAGCGTCTCGGGAATTCTACTCCAATAAGGAGAATAGCTCTGTTATCTTCGAAATTGAGTTCAGCCTCCACGATCTGTGACAAGGTGAGTTAAACGTAACCCAGTATTACAATACTCTAACTTGCAGTTGGCAGCAACTTGACGCGTTTGAAGAACATCGTTGGAGCTATCCCGAAGATGCCAAACTCTTCAAATTGATTATTGAGCAGAAGCGAATTTTCAAGTTCCTACTAGGGTTAAACAAAAATTTTGATGAAGTGTGAGGATGGGTATTGGGAATCAAACCGCTGTCAAGCATCCGCGATTTGTTCTTCGAGATTCGGTGGGAAGAAAGCCGAAAGAAAATGATGATGGGAGGCACGCAATCCACTCACCTAATAAAAAATGCATCTGCATTTACAATCCGAACACTGGATTCTCGTGGAAAGAGGGGACAACCGTGGTGTGACTATTGCATGAAACCCAGTCACATACGCAAAAAATGCTGGAAACTTCATGGAAGACCTGGTGACAGAAAGCCCTCCAAGTCTGAAAACCCCAACAACTACCAAATTAATCATGCAACCTCTGAAGATACTCTACTGACCGTTGCGGAACTGCCCATTTAGTCCAGAGCAGATGGATGCTCTCCAGAGAATGTTTTCTCAGAAGAATCATCTCATTAATGCTTCGATAGCACATAAAAGTAAAATTCCCCTTGGTTTATCAGCTTGCTCTGGAAAACGACAAGTTTGGATTGTGGACTCCGGAGCATCCGATCACACGACGGGTGATGCTTCACTGCTCCAACAGTACAACTCGTGTAAAGAAGGGTTCACAATGAGAATTGCTGACGGGTCCATCTCTAAAGTAGCAGGAATGAGTTTTGTTGTTTTGTCACCATATTTGATTTTTTATTCCGTTCTATATGTCCCAAATTTGGATTGTAATTTGTTATATGTGAGCAAACTTTCTGGAGATCTAAATTGTGCTGTTAAATTTGTCTCTCATGTATGTGAATTTCAGGACTTGGACTCAGGGAGAACAATTGACAATGGTAGGATGAATTTAGGGTTGTACCTTCTTCAAGCCGACACCTCTAGGAGACAAACTCACAATGCAGTATGTGCAAACTCTGTTTATGTAAGTCATTCAAATAGTGACCATGATATCATGTTGTGGTATTATCGATTAAGACACCCAAATTTCTTATACTTAAAAAAATTGTTCCCTTTATTGTTCAAGAATAAGAATTCTTTTTCATTTCAGTGTGTAGTATGTCAATTCTCTAAACATATTCGAAAATACTTTCCTAATCTATCATACAAACCCTCAAAACCATTTGCATTAATTCATAGCGATGTATGGGGACCTTTCAGGATCACTAACATCACCATAAGTAGGTGGTTTGTATCATTTATTGATGATCATACGAGAATTACCTTGGTATTACTCATGAGAGAAAAATATGAAGTTGGACCCATATTTCAGAAATTCAACATTATGATTTAAACTTAATTTCATACCACCATATAAGTGTTGAAGTCTGATAACGCATGTAAGTACTTCGAAACCACATTTGAAAAATACTTTACTGAACATGACATTATCCATCAAAACTCTTGTGTACATACCCCACAACAAACGATATAGTCAAAAGAAAAAATAGGCATATTCTTGAGATTGCTCGATCAACTATGTTTACTACTCATGTCCCAAAATACCTTTGGGGAAAGACAATACTCGCTGCCACATACTTAATAAAACCGAATGTCCTCCCCTATCCTTTATTTTCAGTCACCCTATAATCTCCTCCTACAAACTTTTCTTGAATCTCATATCTTAAATACTCTTCCATTTAAAGTTTTTGGTTGCTCAGCATATGTTCATATTCATGCACACCTTAGGGGAAAACTTGACCCAAAAGCTCTCAAATGCATCTTTGTTGGGTACTCTTCTAATAAAAAAGGATACAAATGTCTTTTTCTGGACACCTGTCAATTCTATAACACAATGGATGTCACATTCTTTGAAAACCAACATTTTTACCCCACAATTGATATTCAGGTGGAGAACTTTACTCAAGAATATCAATTGTGGGATGTGAGTATACTCTTTCTTTATCCACTGATTTCACCAAATGCACCTTTTCTGGAGTCTGAACCTAATGCTTTACGTGAAACCACACACAAAGAGTCTGAGCCAATGGCAGTAACTGAAAACACATTGTCTGCAATTAATGAGTTACGTGTTTACACCAGAAGGAACAAGGTTCAAGAAGAGAAAGTGCCTGAATTGACCAAGCCTTGACATGAATCAATTCCTGCTCCAGATGTCCAGAAATTAATAAGTAATGAGATCTCAGTCCCTACTACTAATACTGATACTGAACTGCCTATTGCTTTAAGAAAAGGAACTCGCACATGCACCAAACATTTTATATAGGACTATATCTCATTTGACAAGCTGTTTTCGAAGCATTATGCATTTGTGAGCAAGTTAGATAGTAATTCCCCAGAGCCGAAAACAATCCATGAAGCACTCCAAGCACCAGAATGGAGAACAGCCATCCATGAGAAAATTAGAGCACTTGAGAAGAATGTAATATGGGAGTTAACAGATCTACCTCTAGAGAAGCATCATGTGGGATGCAAGTGGGTCTTTACAACTAAATACAATTCTGATGGAAGTGTGAATCGGTATAAAGCTCGCCTGGTAGCCAAAGACTTTACTTAGTCCTATAGGATAGACTATCAAGAGACATTTGCGTCAGTAGCCAAACACAATACAATTCGGGTATTACTTTCACTTGTCTCAGATCTTGATTGGTCACTTTGTCAGGTAGATGTGAAAAATATTTTTCTTAACGGTGATCTAGAAGAAGAAGTATACATGGACGTCCCACCAGGATTTGAACTAACAAACAATCCTCATAAAGTGTACAAACTCAAAAAGTTACTTTATGGTCTTAAACAATCCCCAAGGGCATAGTTTGGTAGATTCACAAAGGTAGTGAAACAAGTAAGGTATGAGCAATGTCAGTCAGATTACATACTGTTTGTCAAACACTGTATCTTAGGTCAAAAAACTATTTTGATTGTCTATGTAGATGATATCATTCTGACAGGGGAGCATATTGAGGAAATTAAGAAGCTTAAAGAGTTTTTGGCTAAAGAATTTGAAATTAAAGATTTTGAAATGCTCAAGTACTTCATTGGCATGGAGGTAGCTTGGTCCAAAAGGGGAATTTCAATATTACAACGGAAATATGTTCTAAACCTTTTGAAGGAGACAGGGATGCTCGGAAGTAAACCTGCAGACACACCTATGGATCAAACCGTGAAACTAGGATTCAAGATTAGTGAGAAAACAGTTGATAAAGAGAGGTATCAAAGATTTGTAGGCGAACTCATCTATTTGGCACATATAAGACCCAACATCAGTTTTGCAGTTAGTACAGTAAGTCAATTCATGAATCAACCAACTGAGGAATACATGAAGGCTGTATATCGGATTCTGAGATACCTAAAGATGACTCTAGGTCAAGGATTGTTCTTCAAAAAGTCAATGAATAGGGATATTGAAATCTTCACTGATGTCTATTGGGCAGGATCAATAACAGACAGAAGGTCTACATCAGGATACTGTACCTATGTCTGGGGAAACTTGGTCACTTGGCGCAGTAAGAAACAGTCAGTG